TGCATGGCTGAGCGGCCCAGGCTGTCCATGAGGAGCATTGGTCCTGCCTGGTGGAAGGGGGCAGCTGGGAAGGACCTGCCAGCTGAGTCCCTCACGTTCACCTCCTGCTCACCTGCAGAGCCCAAGGCTGCAGGAAGGTGCCTGCCCTATGCTGTAACACCAGGGACAACCTGGTGCCCCTGCCTCTCACAAGTACAAGAGAAAACACCAGCAGCTGTCTTGATCATGGTAGGGTCCTGCAACAATCCTGAGTGCTTGATCAGATCTGGGCCAATGAGCTGGATGAAAACAGTACACCCTGGATCATGGATTTCACTTATCTTAGCCAATTTATCTGTCTCCTTGCTTTCACACATGCACACATATGCGTGCAAGATGTGTCTCTGAAAATCAGAATATCTGTGTCAGTGTGTGCTACATCACAGACAACACACCCATGCTGTTTGTACAACAGCATCCCACCGAGCTCAGAGCCCGTTGCACTGAGTACAGAAACAAGTGACACATTGGAACAGGCTGTCCAGGGAGGTGGTAGGATCAGCACTCCTGGAGGTGCTCAGTACCACTCCTGCCCTTTTCCTGAGTGACATGGTCTGGGATGACCACAGGCACTGGTTAACAGCTAGACCAAATGACCTTGTAGGGCTGAAATGATCAATCAATAAGTACATGAACAAAAAGTGCTGCAGGTGCCAACAGGAAGAATTAGTCCAGAAGAGAAAATTCTTTCCACATCATCTGTCTGAGGAGAAGGGGCCACATCTGAATGTTTGAACTAACTGTGTGTAAACACTACATCTACAGTTGGAAAAGTATGTTGGTAAATCAAATATATCCTGAGCAGGCCTGAGTGTTCCTTTAGGCATAGTGGGGCTGGTTGGTGGGACAGAAGAATAAATATGTGCTTTCTAAGTAGAAAGACTGCACATAAGTGAGATGATTTATTTGCACAAAACGATATTGTTTTAAATGAAGCTCTGAACTCAGTATTTTGACATTTGTAAAGAATGACACAGAAGTTATTTAACCACGCCAGGAACACACTGTTTGGACTCAAAACCAACAATGGTTCCCAGGCTTCCCTTCTGAGCCCCAGGAGGTACCAGCAGGCCTCTTCCCCACATAACAATTGTCATCATAAAGCATTAATTTGCTGAAGACAAATATATCATCTTCAACAAACTGAAAAATGTTGGGAATGGGACTGAATCTGAAAGAAAAAGCTTATGATGAGCGTTTGGCCATTCTGGGATGCTTCCCCAGCCTGCTTTTTTTCTAAAAGAAAATGAAAGTACAGTTCATTTTATCTAAACTTGGAAATAAAAATCAGAAGCCTATTTACTGTTTAAAAAAATGACATTCCTGAGCAAGGAACATGTGCATGAGGACAGTGAGGACAAACCTGCAGCCATGCCCCAACCAGCCCAGCCTTTTCTTCCTCTTTGGTCCAGGGCAGACAGAAGAGCTGAATCACATTTTGAAAGCACTGCCCTCTCAGCAGAATGATCCATTCAAGATACATTATTTAACAAGACCTGTAGGTTACAGCACAACAGATAAATACTTGATAAATGAGAGTTTTGTTTTGGGGTGTTAGTTGAGAAATACTTCAGCCTTCCAAAGCCTTTGTGAAAAGAACATCCGAAAAATGCTGAGGAATATTTTGGCACTGCGATTTGTTTTTCAGCAGGTTCTTGCTGCCTCTGGAGCCTATGCAGCAGGGGCTGACCCGTGAGCTTGCCTGCTGGTGCTGGCACACAGTGGTACACAAGGAGAGAAGCATTTTCTCTGCTGCAGACATGCATTCCCTTTTCAGGTTTCTCAGACATCTGTATGATGCAATTTACATCCATTTAAAGTGCCTGTAGATATGCTATGGGTGGCTTCCCACACAAACTGTTTGAGGCACTCTGTTCATGCGTGCCTGAGCAAACATGATAAGAGAAAATAAGGATTTTAGGAGAAAATGAGGATTTAAACAAGCACAGTTCTGCTCCTGATTTGTGGATGTGTATAAAAAAACCCAATCAAATCAAAATCCCCTCCTTTTCTCCATGTTAATCTTTTTTCTTCTCTTGTACATTCTCATCAATTTGTCCTTGGTTACGCAGTGGCTTCTAGTCGCACAGCCAAGTTAGTCCCTGTGCAGCATTTCAAGTAAAACAATTTAATGGCCCATTGGCTAAATGCTGACAAACCTACCTGGGATGCAGTAGGAGGTAAGGACCAAGCAAAATCTCAGTATTATCTCAAGTCAAAGGGAAAAACCTGCATCTTAGTGCAATCTATTTACTGACATGGTAAATATCTCAAACTGTGTGAAACTTACTTTAATGCTTTGTGGCACTAAAATGTTTCTGATGCAGGGATGTTACTTAGGTTTCAGTTGCTGGGTTTTGTGCCTGACCCCACAGAGAGCATTGCCTCTTTGCATCGTCACTAAGGGAAATAATTTTTAGTGACATGCTTTTGTGCACCAAACTGAGTAATACATATCTATCCTCTCTATTGCTGCAGATAAGGGTCACTGGCAAGCACATAAGGAAGTCATATCATAAACAGTCTTACATAGTGCAATTTGAACGGTGTGAATATCCACAATGCACACAGGCCCACAGACAGCTGCTTTTCAATGGAAACATGTTTAGGTTATCAAATAATCAGGTCTACTCACTGCTATGGCCCAGAGGTCACTGGAAGTAGTTCTCAAATCTCAACAACTGACATTGCTGATACCATTTTTACTCTAGACTCATCCAGCTACATCTGGTCCTACCTGGAGGTTCAGCTCGTGGCAACAAGCAGAGGGTTTCAGCATCAGCCATAGATGCAACACGTTCCCAGCCCCTCCACAGAGTAGGTTTACTTCCCAAACATCTTTTTGGAGAATTCCTCTCTATCCCATTTCTCTGCAGGTCAATCCCAAGATGAGAGTCTGTATTCTGAGGTCTGTCTTTAAAGCCACCCACCAGAGCTGGCAGTCTGGTACAGCAAGTGTGAGAGATACGCAGCATGAGATAGTGGTGCTGTGCCAAGGTTCCTGGCAGAAGTCTGGGCACCCACCTGCTGCTCTGCTGTGGTAGATTCAAGGTGAAACACAAACACAGAGGTTGCTGTCTTGCAGGATGGATTTTGTCAAACCCTAAATGAATTCTTTTGAACTTTCTTACTTTCTCATAAGCATCTTACTATCTGAGAAGGAAGAATATGGTCAATCAACACTTAAAATTGACTTCCTTCAGCTAGAAGGACTAGAGACCAGATTTTAGGACTTCTCAAAATCTGAAAATGAGATGTTTTTCTCCAGGAAGCTTCAGCCAACCAGGTTGAACACCCCAGCATCCCCTATGAAATGCTGATGCAGCCCCAAAGACAACCCATTCACCTGGTGCTAGGAGGAGTATCGTGGGGCTACAAGTCATCCACTCAGACCAGAGTCCCAGTGTTCAGAGGAAACCAGTGCTTAATTTTCACACACAGGCAGCAGTTCTACTTTGTGCAGAATAAAAACAACAATGATATTCAACCTGAGATGTACTCTGCAGATTAACACAGAATCATAGAATGAATCATAGAATGGCTTGGGTTGGAAGGGACCTCAAGGATCATCAAGCTCCAAGCCCTCTGCCATGGGAGTGGGGAGACTTACATCTGGTAAGCCAGGATCCAGTATCTATGCACTACATACACCTGCTATTCCAGAGAGATCACCTCACTTCGACTTCATCATTTTTGTGATGTACATCCACATAGAAAGCAAGATCTGTTATTTACTGCTTCTTTCATTTTTGCAACAGAACATCTCACTGAAGGGAAGACCCCCAGTCAAGTGTTAAAATGCATCACTGGAACTTGTAGCAAGTCTATGCACTGTTAGTTCATTAAAATGTGCTAGATGGAGCCTTTATCAGCAGATATACAATAGATAAACAAAAAAGTTGGAGGCTTAATGTTATTTTACCTGATTCTTATCCTGTTGATCAAAGCTCTTAGTGGGTTTGAATACTTAATATGATTGTTAAAAAGAATTTCTAAGACTGCACATCATTTTAAAATTTCTAGCTTTACCAAATCTTTTGAAAAAGAGTAACAGGAAAGTAAAATAGAACAATACTGCCAGTTTCATGTATTTTGCATAACTTGAAATCATATGAAACGATTACAGGGAGATTGAATTTGAGGCAATTTGTGCCACATGAGCTTATAAACTTAACTCTGTCTTTAAGATAAAGACAGGGTTAATTCACACATCTTACATAGGCAAGAAAGGCATACTTACACACTTAACTAAGGTTAAAAATTACCCAATAAGGCAGTCTGAGTAAGTGCTTTGAGTGTTTTCTGTTTGCATTCTTAAACATTTTTAGAGCAGATTTGACTTTCTATACATCACACAGATTTCTAGGTAAGAAATGTTTAAACAATACAAACTTACATTTATAGGATCTTGAAAAGTAGTAAATTCCTAGAAAAAGTCTAGAATATGGCTTGATAAAACCATCATCTCAAAAAGAATACATTGACTACTATTAGAAATGCCAGAAGAGTAAAAACAGTTCAAACATTTGTGAAGATTTTGTATAATAAGAAATTTTAGAGAATGGTATTGCAAGTAAATATGAGAAGGCATACACTAAAATATTCTATCAAAAGGTTTTCAAAACCCTTCTGTACAGCAATCGAGTTGTCTTCCTTCAGATGGAAAAAAAATAAAGATTCAGACCTCTGTGTGACCACTAGCAGGGTAAGGCCAATAAGTCAAAGTGCCAATAAGATTAACCTGATCAGCTATCTACTCCTTGCACTGCTGAGTGTTGTTTCAGTACCCTGCAGCATGAAGGAAACCAAATACCCTCACCTCCCTGTTGCCGATGCTGAGATGAAAGAGAAAACAAGTGGCTTTCACATGTGTCTGGTGAAAGATAAATTAGAAAGCAAGATATTCACTAAATTAGAGGAAGGGAGAAGCAGAATATTTAAATCACTGATTTCTGCCTTCATTTTTTTTTTTTTCCTACTTCAGACTAAAGCAGAAACAGCAAGTATTTAAATAAGCCATTTTAATCATTAGGGATCAGCTGCTATTAGCTGCTATGAAACATGTTCCAGAAATCTGTGAAAAAACACATTTGTCTGTTCTCAGTACAGACTCCTTTTATGAAGGTTCATTAGAAGAAAAATAGAGCAGTACCTTCTCTAGAGGTAACAGAACGCATGATAATTCACTCCAGGGCCAGCAAAGCTGCTTTTTGTAGATCCAGGACTCAGTGTTCTGACAGAATTCTATTTAAAATGCCTTCACAAAGCATTTCTCTGATCAGGCTGTTTCCTGCTGTGGCATCCTACTGGTTTTGCAATGAAAGTTCTGGTATCTTAATGCTGCCAGAGCAACACTTTCCATTTCAGCAAGTAATGAACTAGCAGGCAGGAGCCTGTTAACCCTTGATGCTACCATTACTAGCATCAGCAACACACTTCATCTTCCACACTTAAAGCTGGATTTTGAAATCTGACTACATTTTTCTTTAGTTGTAGCAAAAGGATGGGGAAGAATCTAAGCATTCTACTACCTAAGCTGCCTACTGTACACAATCATCCAGCAGATCCTTATAGGTAAAGCACATGCAGATAAGAGAAGGCTGTAACAGGGACCAGCGTTTTGATAATGCAGTTGCTTATTTGTGCTGAAAATTGGTCACTACCAGGTGAAACTGCAGTATTGCTCCTGTTCCTGGCTGTGATTAGTCCTAGGGTCCAGCTAACAATCCTCACTACAAGAAAAACACTAGACATGAGCAAGATTGGCTGGCTCTAGAAAGTACCAGTCATGTCCTGTGCTTGTATTCCCCCCTTCAGTAGCTCCAGTGGAAGAACAGACATCCCTTCCTCCTTTAGTTCTGTTGCTGCAGATAAAATGCTCCTGCTACACAAACTTTTCAGAAACTACATGATTAGTGACACTGACCTTTCAGCATCCAGTCTCATGTACTTACACATGGTGTCTGCTCCAATACACCAATACAAGTAGCATCTTTTGGAATACGATTCCAAAAATAAAAACCCTTACCTCCCAACTTCAGGTGCCTCATTCCCTAATACGGTTTTTGTCTAAAGCAGGATCCTCTGCGAATCTGTGATTACAGGTTTTAACCTATGCTTATCGGGTAATGCTTTCAACTCCCTGCATAACTGTTCCCAAGAACACAGAGCCATTTAGGCTGGAAAAGACTTTCAATTTCAGGAAGTCCAATGCCAAAACAACCCCACAAGTGCCATCACTAAGCCATGCCATTTCTACACTAAGTGTTAACTTCTTTTTTTATAACATGTGCAGGAACAAAGTCACAGCCTTCATTACCTGTCAACAATAGTGGAAAGGACAACATGTCACAAGTACCAAAAAACAGCTAAATCCCACAAGTCAGGAAATACCAGTAAAATGAACTTTATTTTAAAGCCCATTAAAAGGCTTCACAATAACACTAACAGAAATAGCATTTCCTTCATTTTAAGCACCCCACATGAAAAATGTATTGTTTAGCAAGAGACGAAACGTAAGCGTTTCTGCATGCTACTAACACATTCCATCATCTTATTATCTGATAAATGCTTTGGACTGCAATAATCAAAAGCCTTCGAACAGAAAAATTTATTCTGCAAAGTCCTTACAAACGGGACAGACACTGGCTTTTACTGACATACCCAATCAGATGTCCAGATGAAAGAAAACTACCTTGGCATCTACAAATGCCTACGAAGGTCTCAAATACAACCTTTTGAAGGAGCAGTATATTTCAGAGCAAGTGCTTCTCTTCATCTTTAGTGATGCAAATGGTTAAATACTGCACAGAAGCTTAGTATGAACTCACAATTCCACAGGAATCTGAAAGTTACCAAGGCAATTTTCCTTTTAGGATAGTCATGACCAACACTATTACTATTCTTTCCTCCCATAACACAACATATTCCAGACAAGTTTTAAGAAAAAATATAAATAGTTCCCAAAACAATGCATTCCCAATCCCGTGATCATGTATGACAGCAAAAATATCTTCTGTCATGGGATGAAATAACTTGCTGCAAGTGTAGTGGTTTTAGTCCAAGTCCATGTTAACAGTGTTTTGATCACCTGGATGACATTCACCATTTTGCTGAGGCATGTCTGAGTTTTTGTCATCTTCTCCCATGTCTTCAGTTTTATAATCGCCCTGTTCATTTAATGGGTTTTCTTCCTTAGGAGAGTCAACTTTTGGTTTTGGTTGTGTCACAATGGGCTCACAGATATTGTTCAACTCCTGAAAGAGAGAGGAGAAAAAGATATGGTCAGAACATGTGTTAAGTACAAATCAAATCAACTTCACTAATGTGAAGAGCCCCATGCCTAAAATGTTGTTTTGAATTTACTTCTTCATTTCCTGAGTCCAAAGTGACAAGAACACACTGTATTCTGAAATAAACTGATCTACTTCCTGAAGTTCTATAAGCAAAGATTTTTCTTTTAGTTTAATATATGTCTGTGGTATTTTCCCTTAAGACCATCTTGTACTTTCCAATAAAAACTCCAATTGCCTTTCAGTATTAAGGTGAAAGACATGTAAAACACCAATAGCTCCATAGAATTGTAAACAGCAAAGCACAGCTCCTCTGCTTTCTGCTGAACCTCATTTAGTTTACAGTTTCTAACCACACTTTAACAATACTGGAAAAGATGAAATATGAAAAGGAGTTTAGAGGAGAAACAAAACAAGTCAGTCTGGCTCTCAATTATTTTTTTTTCCACTTTTTTTTTTTTTTTTTAAGTAATATCCTCTAAAATTAATTTCTTTTGGTACTTACTTGAAGCTTTGCCTTAATTTCAAAGGAACGCACAGCAGGATCCTGATCTAAGCTCTTCTTAGCCTGTGCACTCACAGCATTGTTCATCCACTCTATCACTTCGCTCACACACTTCTCTACCTTCATCATTTCCATTTCATCAATATGGATGTATTTTTCATCCTGCACAAATAAGTTTTTTGTATTAATTGATAAAGTCACAAAGTTACTGACAGCATGAAGTTACTGACAAGAATATCCAATTATTTACAATTTATCATCATCTTTACTAACTTTCAAAATAAATGGTTAGGCAAAGACTGCATCTGTTACAGCAAGAGATAAGAGAATGCAAAAATTGGAATAAGTTTTCCGTCCAGTATTTAAATAGGAAAGCCAGTTCACAAAGGGAATACTTCACAAAAAAGTCACAAAATAATACAATGTTCTTAGCAAGGTTGCTTAAAACACCTTTCAACTTCAAGAGCATTCCTTTAGATGCCACAGAAGCAGTTAAATAATTGTTAACAGAAGAAAGATCTGCACTACACCATGACCTGTGACTTAAGCTGAGAATTCAAAAGATGGATTCAGTGTACTTGAAATAACTAATACCACTGAATGCAGTTTGTTTAAGACTGTAATAGTACTGAATAGTTTCAAATCATAATGATATTCTCATAACGCATAGCTTCAAATACATATAATTTTCTCTTGTGAGCCTCAATCTCAAACTAAGTAATTTTGAGTGTTGTGAACTGTCCTATTAAAACTCTAAAGCTGATACTCAAGGACTAAGTTTACCACAGGCAGGCATGTTTATCTAGAAAGTCATCTTTAAACAACAGTGCCAAAAAAAAGAAACGTAAATAGAAGCGTATCTTGAGTCGCTTTTACAGTAAGGCTTCTCATCACAGCACAATATCCAGTTCTTCTGGGACTAAGAATGGAAGAGCACACCTCTGAAGAAACTAGATCACCTTTTAAAAGGTCAAAGAATTAGACCACAGTCTGACCTTCTCCCTTTTTGTCAAAGTTTTTTTTTTTTTTTTTTTTTGCTTGAAAACATCCAGAAGTATCAAACAACTGAAGATACAATGCACCCTGTGAGGTTTTGTTGACTACTGGGAAACATTTGTGGTGTTAAATTCGTGACCTACATAACAGTAGATATAACTCAAACATGGAACCTTGACCAGCTGGTGGGCTTCAATGAAACACCTACATGGTATTAAACAAAAAAAAGGTTCTTTGAGGCCACTTACTTTATTCCTGAATTCCCCAGCTATTGCAGCATAATACTGAAGCCTGTGTCCCAGTTCTTCTAATAGCTTTGGTCGCTCCTCTGCTTCTTGATAGCGCATTTCAATCGGAGTACCTAATTTCTAGAAAAAGCAATTTCTGCGTGTTATACATTTCATTAACATTCATCAACATTGTTTCTCGTGGTATTTTGTAAAGTTTGCATTTTGGGTTGTTTTGCAGCCTAACGGACCTACCTTTAAATCCTCCAGTTTGTCTACATACACCTGCTTAGCTTCGTCCTCGCCCTCTTCATACAGCCAGCCTTCTGTCTCTGTTAGGAGTGCAGAGAAGCCTTGCAGATCCTATGTGACAATACAATTCAACATGTCAAACATCAAAACATGCAACAATTGATTGTGCTTCTCTTGTAGTAATAGAATACCAGTAAACACAAGAGTTCATGCAGAAGGCTAAGAATTAAATTTCTGTTGCAGCTTTCACCTAATTAGGTCAACTAAACACATCAGATTCTAACTGGGAAACAATGCATCTACAACACTGCAGCATCAATAGCTACTTGCCTGGATCTAGACCAATGCTTGGGCTATGGTTTTAATTCATGTTTTTAGTTATGAATACAACACAGCTTTCCTTGCTATTCACCATCTTTATTTAGAAGCAAAACAGGATTTTGTTCCAAAAGGAGTCAAGGGAGTCAAGTCCTCAGGCATATGCACTACTTGCTAAACCTGAGAATTTCAGTTCTGCATCAGTATCAGTCATAAGCTGAATACAGGCTAAAGGAACTGGGGTTGTTCAGCCTGTAGAAGAGAAGGATGTGGGAGACCCCTCACTGCAGCCTTCCAGTATTTAAAGGGAGTTTTTAACATGGGGAAAATCAGCTTTTTTGCACAGGTACATACAACAAAACAAAGAGGAATGGTTTTAAATTAAAGGGAGGAAAATTTATATCAGACATCAGGAAGTTGTTTTTGTTAGTTTTTTTTAACTGATTGGTGAGGTGCTGGAACAGGCTGCCCAGAGAGATTGCGGATGCCCCATCCATGGAGGTGTTTAAGGCCAGGTTGGATGCCTTGGCCAATCTGATCTAGTACTTGATCTAGTGGCTGGCATCCTTTCCTATGGCACAGGGGTTAAAACTTGATAATCCTTGAGGTCCCTTCCAACCCAAACCATTCTATGATTCTATGACTGTACAAATGAATCTTAATTCATCTACATCGTTTCCACAACAAGTATATGATGAGAAAAGTCTAAGGAATTCAGAATAGTTATTATCAGTGCTTTCAGGGAAGTTCCTGAACTATAACCTACCTTTTCACAAACAAATTTCTCATATGGTCCCGACAATTTGTCCCTGAACTCATACACATATTCTTCCACTGCATTCTTTGCATCATTTCTTTCTTTTTCCAGTTTGTCTTGCATAATCATCTTACCCTGTGTGATCACGTAAAACATTTAATTAACACCTATGTTCAAACAAGTATTCTGTAAAGCACAGCTGCTATAAAACAAAGAAGCAATGTGAGCTATAGCTTCTGGCATTCTCAAAGCTATAGTGGGCTCACCTGAGAAAATGGTGCATCATTTTCTAGATTGCAATGGCTTGAACAGACCTGTGATCTTATTCTACAGATCAATGCCCTGATACAATTGTTATAAACAGCACTGCACTTAGTAGCATTTGTCAGTTACATGTTAAAGTTGGAGTATTATAAGCCCACTCAATTAGTTGAGCCTACACTCTAGGTTTATATAAAAGATCAGAGATTGCTCTGAAAAGCAGAGCAATTGTTAATTACTGCAATTAACAAAGCAGTCCAAACCACACTAACTCACCTCTGTTTCAATATACATATTGAGGAGATCTTTTCCTAACTGCCAAACCAAGTTAGCTTCAATAGGCAGTTCCACATTCTTCACTTTTATCTTGGGTTTTTTAGCTTCTGGAGGCTGATCGCCTTTCTTTTCACTTGTCTAAGTTGGAGAGAAGAAAAATAAGATAACATTCCTGACTGATGAATTAACGCTATGATAGAAACATCCACAGGGAAGAATGGAGATGGTGCTCTTGGAGAATTTTCAAGATGTACTTGCAAGGCACTTGTCCTTTCAAGGAAGTCTGCCTGCTATCCAGTCTGCCTACAGCATTTCATAGACAGTACTGAGCAACAGGAAGGACATTTCCCAGATTTATCATTTATTTGCAGGTTTTCCAGAAGCACCCATCTATAGCTTAGCACTTCACTGGTGATGCTGACAGCAGCAAGATTTTAATCTAAAACATTTCTCATCTTATACAGATCAAAGAGCAAGCTACTAGCAATATCACACAGGCACATACTCTACACACTGATTATCTCCCCTTCAGTTTATAAATTCCCGACTCAAGCTTCTCTCAGCAGACCCAATAACTTTGGCCTCTAACAGTTGTTGAATAGATTGGAAATATCTCCTTCCCAAACAAATTAGCTGTACAACTCCATGTAAAGAGGCAAGGGTAGACAGACTTGCATCTAGCAGGAATTCTGCAAAATTTTTATGAAAATCACCACAAGATACACAGATAATTTTTGACAATTAAAAATAAAAAAGGTATAAAAGTAGAAAAAGAGTTTTGAGTACGAGTTCTTCACTTTTCTCCTGGAATGTTAACAATTTTAAATGCCAGAGTATAACATTTTCAACAGAGTTAAAGGGTCACTCACTTTCTTGACATCTGGGATTTTGTTTTCTTCAGAGGGAGGTTCTGATGAAGGGGGAGACTGTGACGTTTGCTGACCATCAGTTTGTACCTGGGACTGTGTTCCAGCCTCACTGTTCTCTTGCTGGTTATTTTTCTGAAATGAAAGCCCAGGCACAAAGGATGTAGAAGGCATGTGCACTGGAATTTATTCGAAGTTATAGGGCACCACTTCTGACACACATACTGTACCAAGTGCCCTACAAAGCATTCTGTGCACACGCAAATACACACGCTTTAACTAACAGACTATGTGCAAGTTCAGAAGAACTTTGTAAGAATGCTACCAGTGCCAGGCTGGCAGCATAATACTCGCGTGTGTGCATTCTACCACTTTCTTTTACAAAAAGTGGCTCTGAATTTATCAAGTCATAGCTTTTTAAGGTTTTTTCCTTCAAAAAAAAAAAATATTAACACAAAATCCACTGTAACAGTGCTGCATTATTTCCCATTGCTCCCCTTTCCTTCCATGCTGTAGAAAAGGATCCAATTTTCCCTTTCACAAGGTTTCAAAATGTCTCTAACACAGAGCATTAGGCACAATTTTTTATGAGACTGAGAGCATGGAGGACTACCAGTCTAAATCAAGTTCTCCTACCTGGAACACTGATAACTATGACTGCAAGCAATCCCACCCTCAAGGAACCCACCTACTGCCATATCAACATGTTGCCTGATAATTGATTTTGAAATCCACACAATTTTTCAAGTTAATACTAATTTTCTCCTTTTCTTACAAAGATATCTTACTAATAACTGTGCACATCTCAAAATTAACTTCATTTTGCTTCCTTAGAAGGTACTTCTCTTCCCAAGTACTGTACCAGCAGAACAGTTTCATCAGTAAGGATATTCACACACAAGAAAGGCCAACTCACATCACTTGAATTTTCAGCAGGCATCTGGTCCTGAGTTTCCAATTCAGTCTCAACACCGACATCCTCACTATCTTCACTTTTAACTGGTTCTACCATGGATGCAGTGGACACGCTGAAAATGCCATGAGTATTGACACGGACTTTCACTTTAACTTTAGACTTCTCTCCATCTTTCTGAGCTGCCACATTCTGGATAACATACCTACCTGAAGTCAAAAGAATCACTGAGTGTAATAGACTAGGTAACATTACAGGACAGTAACATTTCAGGACAGGACAAATACCTTCTTTGACACAAGGCACTTTCTAAATATTTGACCCTGCCAGTAATATATGTGCTAACTGCATGGTTCCCAATTTAAATGAATACTGTGAAAAACAGAAGGCATGTTACTGTTCTACCAATCTTACCTTCTAAATAGTGATGGAAAATGTTGATTTTCAGAGGGCAGATTCTCCTGTCACTAGCAATAAAGAATCAGTACAAAAAGTAAAAGCTCACTCTCCCTTTGCTCGTGATACCTGTGATACAATAATGGGATCAACAAAAACTAGAAAGATTTTACTTAATGGAAATACTGTGGTGCATGCCTTTAGTTGTCCAACACAGGAACAGGATTTCTAAAAGTGTAATAAAATAATAATGCATTTTTGCCATTCAGCTTCTAACATCCATATAAAGCCTGCCAATTACCTTTCCTCTAGGGAGAGCATACAAAGAGTGAGATTTCTGATACTCATTTAAGAGCAGGTATGTTTTTCTGCCCACTGCATGGTTCTGTGTATATCACCAAAACAGTGACCTGGAAACCACTCTGCTTCACTGATATTCTCACAAGCTGGATACGCACATGCTCACATGCACCACTTCATCAGTAGATCTGATCTTCCTGCATATCAGCTTTTATCAGCTTACTCTACAGGCCAGAGAATATAATCCCCTGCTGGGTAAATCCAATAATACTGAAGTTGTGACCTGCCTTCATTCAGTAGTCTCTTCAGAACTCCTGACTCACTTATATGAGCTACTAACAACACTGTTCTGAGCAAAGACTTAATTGGTGAGTAAGCTGAAGCCAATCAGATTTTCAAAAATCCACGCTTAATTCGCTGTATAGAAGTTAGCCATCTCATTTGTTAAAGCTACAGAAATTTAACTGGCACAAATTGCATTACTGGCCTTTAAAGGCAAAGCCAACATGAAAGCAAGTCTGCTGTTTCTGTGACTACAAAATATTGTGCTGGTTCCTAAGAAATGGAATTTGAACTTTGCAACTTCTTGTGAACCAACCACAGAATTCACTTCAACACAGGGAAAGTTAACTCATTTTTCCTGTTAACAGGTACAGGTGACTTTGTAGTATATGATATAGAAGCTGAAGCACTGGTAAATCAGATAGCAATGTTTTAGACCTATGTTTTCTCCCAGTCATTTCAAGAATATTTATTAAGTTCATCTTTAACATGGCAATTCCAGTGTAACTATCATCCAGGTATACTGTGAACCAACAGAACAGCTGTACCATGAAATATCTAACCGGTCGATAACTCAAGAGTAAGACAAAAAAAACAGAAAATAAATCATTTTTTTAGTAAGAGAGATTTTTAGTAAGAGATTTTATTTTTGCTTCTACCATCCTAAAAATTGTTGAGCTTTTAAACAAAACCAAGCAGTTATTTGACAGTTTTGTAAGAACTCCCAGCTTGATTTTACCATGCAAACATCTTTTTATAACTGCATTATAGACATTAGATGTTTTAATTTGTCAAAAAGGAGAAAAGACTTGCTCTTGCTACCAATACAGTTCAAATCAACACCTTAGTCTTGAAGCTGCTACTATTTAATGCTGAGGAAATTCTAATCAAGGCAGCCTTACATGACATCCAGAAAGAACAGGAAAACATAACACTCAGTAACTCAAGCTTTATTCTATGGTTTCAGTGTTCCTGTTTAATCCACACTTGAGTTTTCTACATACAGGAGATATTTTTCAAGTACTCATAAGGATGCTTTAGTAGAAAAGAAAACATGTTAAGAAGTTCTCTCACAAAAACAATCTCATTCTACTCCTGGGTGTTACAATTCCCTCCATTTCATCATAGGACTAAAACAACTTTTGAAGATGATCAAATTTGGATTTTGTCCATCTATGGAATGAGATATTTATTAATAACTGAGTCCTCCAGAGACTGAACACTACAGTAGTATAAATACTATTATTACAGAGTTGATTTAAGACCAACACGGATATTAAACAATGTAAGAAAGCAACATTTCCAGCACAATTACTTACCAATTTTTGACTCTGGATATGGGACACCATTAGGATCAGAATAAAAAGCTTCTAACTCAAATGGACCTTTCCTATAGAAGGTAAGAACTTTGGAGAAAGGTGCTGCATGATTTCTGCTGAATACCTCATGAACCCTACAATTAGAAGAAAACATCACGTAGCAGAATATAGAATCACTCAGGTTGGAAAAGACCTTAAAGATCATCAAGTCCAATATCTTAGGTGATAGACTGATTTAGCATCAGAAAAACATCACTACGCTTTGGCATATTTGCCCTCCTGAAAAATTCAAAGAGGCTTTGCAACCATACCACAAAGAAAAGAATTATTGCTCTGTAATCAGAAAAAATCCTATTCTGACAGCTTTGAGCCTCAGAAGAAAAGTTCAGGTCTAGGTAGCAATTTGGTGACGGACCATCAGTAGATTTCCAGCATTTGTTTTTCTTCCAAAGTTCAGGGCTAGTCAGTTTCATACTGATATTAGAATCATACTTGATACCAGAAAATGCAAATCTGTAGTGTTTTTGGCTCTTCATAAATATTCTTGCACAGGGCTACTGTTGAGGAATAACATAACTGAAATTATGATTTGCGCCCTTCTTCACTTAGCCTCAAAAAGCAAATTACAGCCCCATCACTACCTTACTCATTTACCTTCTGTGGCTCATTTGAAAACCCTGACACCTGATTATTATTCATTCCTTGATATGACAAAGACAGCCAGCTTTAATTATGTTCTTTGTCTAAGTTCTGTCTACTGTTACATGCCTGTCTGATTCTAATTGATTCTAATTCCCAACTCTTTTTTTTTTTTTCTAAAGATCTCCTAACTATAGAAAGATCCCATCTACAAATTCAGTGTGAGAAAACAAGAGCTTCACCTAGAACATGAAACTACAGTTTGCTCTTGGAAGCCTGCAAGGGAATGAAGAATAGGTTTCCATGTGATTAAAGACAAAAAAATTTGAGCTGCAAAGAGCTTGTAGGGGGGAAAAAAAAAAAACAAAGAAAAAGGATGAAAAGTCCCCCTTGCACTCCAGACTCTCCAAAAGAGAATTTCAGACCTTTCAACATCCTCAAAAGGAAGAACAACTTCTTCCATGCATATCACCACTAATAACTTAGGTCAGAGTCTAAGGATGCTGTGATTGCAAGGAATTGCTCTTAAGAAGCCCTAAGAGTTAAATCCTTGCTTCTGTTTTCAGCCAGATAAACAGTATCCATGCAAGTACACAATGTTTATATAGCGTACAACCTTCCTACTGAAATAAGAATCTGGGTAGATGTTAGCAGAAGCTAGCAACAGAAAAGCTAAAGAGAAGTGGTATTGGTACTATGTTTTTCTTGTTCACTTTACATTTCAAAACCTAACAAACAGATAAGAGCAATGCAAGACAGCATTTGTTGGCAACTCAAAGTTATCTTTAGATTTTTTTTTTTTTTTAAACGTATAAGGGTAATTATGACTAAAATTTAACTCATGCCTTTACCACCAACCCTCTCTGGTACATGATCTACAGACTTTCTGCATCAGAATGCCAAGATCCTACTTTAAATGCAACCCAGAACATTGCCCTTGAACTGAAAGGTCAAACGCTTCACAGAACAGCAGTTTGAGCTACCTACCCTTCGGTGTCCTCTGCTTCAGTGTTCCACAACAGAGAGATTGGGAATGGTGTAGCATCTGTCACAGAGAATTCTCTCACTTTAAAAGCTGGAGAAAGAATTGCACACTAGAAGAAAAAACACACACTTTGCAGTTGCTTAACTACTCTCATACTTGCCCCCATGAGATTTAAACATCCGTAAACAAGAAAATGAGAACTGCAGTGACTATACTAGGTGAACTGCTTGATTTCAGTGCAGTGTAGTGAGAAAAGAACTATACAGATACGTTCATATTGTTTGGGTTAGCACCACTTTCAGCATTATTCTTACTGCAGCTTGTGAAGAAGGCAGCAGTCTAAAGGAACAGTGGAAACGTAAAAGAACAGAAGCTCTGCATTACTTAGCCTTGAAAGAAGCCTTTGCTTTACACGTCCTGCTTCTTCCCCTGCAGACAACTGACTGCCAGTAATGGAAAGCAATTGGTGAAATATGATAAAGAAAAGTGAAATAGAAGAATGCACAAAGCAAAAATGATGACTGAATGAGTGGTTTGCCTGTAAAATGCAGTTCATTATAACCCGTAAAAATAACTTACGGATGGCAAGGGGGAAGGGAATAAAGTCAGTTTCATACTGATATTAGAATCATACTTGATACCAGAAAATGCAAATAAGAGTTTTTGGCTCTTCATAGATATTCTTGCACACTTTGTTGATAAAAACACTCTCAGCTTGTCAGTGACTATTAAACTGTTCTCATTAAATAGTTTGCTCTTCTGAAGAGAAGAGCTGGCTATTTACAGAACACACCTAACAGTGGCATTTTAAACTACTGCACCACAGAAGAGTCTTATTAGAAGACACAGTGAACACATGTTCTTTGAATGCCTTTAAGGGACCACTTCAGCCATTTCTAAGGAAATGTAATTTTTCACTTTTTCAAGTGCTGCCAATACCGTACCTGCAGAGCACAGCCTCTAGCTATGGCTTCATCTGCATTCAGTGTTGTACTGACATCTTTGCCAAAGAATTTAGCAATCTTCTCTTTGACAGCAGGAATGCGGGTTGCTCCTCCAACAATCTCTACAGCAGTCACATCTTCCACTTTCAGTTGTGTTTGTTCCATTAATGAAAGCAGAGGCATCTCTATCCTTTGCAGCAGGTCAGCACACAATTCTTCAAACTGGGATCTAAGGAAAGAAGTGTGTTAAACCAAACCATGCCCATTCCACGACTAAGATTTCATGGTTTTGTTTTTTTTGTTTTTTTTTTTCCCCTTAACTGATTCTGATTGGGTTTGTTAACACACTGTAAGGCAACAAGCCTTAAATCTAAGTCCCTGTGAGTAGGCTGAATTAACAGCAAGAGACAAGGCAGTACATGAACTGCTGCATACAGATTTTCCTATGCTGCTATCAGGGTAACACAGTAAGATAAAGGTCCTTCTTGGGCAGGTGTTGTGTGTATGACTCTCAGTACAGGTTACAGATTAGAGAAAGCACTCATACTCCCTTTACAAAGAAATTACTTTACCTGTTTTCTAAATAATGGGAAAAAAAAACAAACCACACAACCCTCTCAGTAGTTAAAGGACTGAACAGAAATGAAGTTGTGCCTGTGAGTACATTCCAGGCATAAACAAGTCACCCGCATGGTACCACTTCTGTCCTTTATTTCTTTACTAGTACCCACGGTTCAGTAAGAGCAAGAGGGGAAAAAATAAAAGAAAACTTGAATTGTTGCTGTCTTAAGAACAATAGGAGATCTAGGTCACTGAAAATATGCTGCAGACCTAAATATACGCAAGCCAACCTCCCTGCCCTGATTTGCAGGCATCAACCTGTGATTTTAAAACTGTGTCATTCTACAGAAAGAATCCAAGGTTCCTATACACACATTATTACACTGAAACACTGCTCTGGTACCTGAGCATTATATCTCAGCCTTAGTTATTCCAACTTAGAACTCAGAAATACCACAACTACTCAACACTTGCACTTAATTTTAGCACAGTTAAGTTTCTACTGAAATGGAAATAAATACTTGGTTATGCAGTTGCTTGGGGGCCATATATCTTAAATATCTCCCATAAGGCTCACCTGTTCATTTTTCCAGATACATCAGTGTCGTTCATGAAACACTCAATGTTTAGGGGAATGTCCGTGCTATTTGAACTCATTAGTTTCTTCAGCTTCTCACACTCCTGATACAGACGAAGAAGAGCTCGAACTTTTGATTTTGGATCCAGTTTGTACTTTGCTTTTATTTCTGCACAAAAGTAGTCTACTAACTTTCCATCAAAGTTCCTTCCACCTAGGAAAGGGTCAAATGCTGTGCCCAGTACCTAGTTTGAAAGAACAGAATTATTCAGACTAACACTCAACAGAAACCAAATAGAATAGAAGTCATCCAATATTAGCAAGCCCTTGTTTCTAAAAAAAGCGAGGGACAAGCCAGCCTACAATTCTATACACAGTCTTAGTATTTAAATCAGCCACATCTGTAAAAATTGCTTTCCACTTTTACAATTGAAGTAACCCTAAGCAAGTAGGTGACAAACCTGAGCATTCACAATTTTCATCCATACATTTAATTTGGATGATACTAGTTATACTGTATACATACTGTATGACGTATTGCAAAGCAATCTCCAGCCTTTATCTAAAACCATACTAACGATGGGTACTGAAAAATCTATACCTTCTATCTCTTTGCCACTTTCTATGTATTAGATTATTTTTAAAATCCTGAAATAAGACAGGATTAAAGGCTAGTTTAGCATCTCAAAGCCTTTTCATTTCAATTAATCTTACTACCTTTAGTTTACTCTTGTTGAACGCGCAGGCAGATACTTGAAATGCAGAATGTCCCATATCAACAAATATGACTATTCGTGGCTTCTCTTCAGGAGCTGGAAGGTCTTGTTTATAAATTCCATAATTCAGAGCCACTGCATAAGCAAATAACAGGTATCAGTGTAATCTCTATTGAGTCTCCACCTGCATGTCATGATATCCTGTAAACATTAAGCTATAGGATCAAGAGCAACCAGACCAAACAATCTATGCAATCTCTTACCCCCATGGAAGGTTTGTTCCATTAACACATTGTAGGATCTGAGAAGCAAAAAGCCTTCCTCAGTCACGTATATGCTCTATCCCTAAATGTCTAAGCATGTAAAACTAAGAATCAATTAACCTGTTTTAAATACTGACCTATTTCAATCCATCTGTTTCTTAACAGTTCACCTTTTTAGCTTCTCATAGTAATCAAGGATGCAGCATTTTAATTTACAAAGTAATATCCCCCAGGCACAAAGACTATGTCTGAGAATGCTATGAATGGTCAGAAGAGGCTATAAAATGGAAGAATTTCAGTTTATGCATAGTACCAGGCAGGGACAGATTGCAAAGAGTAGAACAGAAGCTAATGTGGCGCACAAGCATATGGTGATCATGTCAGAGGACAAAACACCAGCAGTTTTGCTGCAGAATTCTGACCTACAGCAGTGGCACAGGTAGGCAGGAGGTTGATGCAATAATTGAAGAAAAACTGAATAGTTTCATCTACACTGTTACGTAGTAAAGCCTCCAATTTTGACATGAGATAGAATACACAAGAACATGCATTTGCACATGATGAAGAAATCCCAAGCTGGAGATCAGGCTACTGGCCAGATTATCAGGCAAGAGAATTACAGCATTAGCAAAGGTGCTAAGAAAGGCAGGAAACACATGCTCTCAAGAGCAATGTATTATAGTCACAGTGACAGCCTTATATTAGGAAGGAGGGACTGGCTTCCCCTGTCACAACAAAACTAAACTATCTAGAACAAGGACAGCCTAGATTCCTACTGAGCAGAGACTTGAGATTTATGGATTCTAGTATCTAGTGAAGTTCCCCTACAGCTGGTACTCTCATTCTCATCACTGTAGACTCAGGATGGTCTTAAAAAAAATTTAAAAGAATGCTGGTACCAGCATTCATTAATCACTCCTATAGTGATCAGTCATTAAGAAGTGCTTAATTAAAAAGAAGAAACTCTTATTTCATGGAATATATTGAAGTGCTATAGCCCTGAGACGTAAATTTGATTGCAGTGTGTCTAAACAAACTAACACACAACGTATTTTTGAGTATGTTGAACAAGTTACCTTTGTTTCCAAGCCAGGTTTCAATATCTTTATTGATGACCTGGATGAGGGCATTGCGTGCACCCTCAGTAAGTTTGCAGATGACACCAAGTTGGCTGGAAGTGCCAATCTGCCTGGGTGTAGTGAGGCCCTACAGAGGGATCTGCACAGGCTGGAGAGCTGGGCTGAAGCCAATGGGATGAGTTTCAACAAGGCCAAATGCCGGGTTCCGCACTTTGGCCACAAGAACCCCAAACAAAGCTACAGGCTTAGGGCAGAGTGGCTGGAAGACTATGTAGAGGAAATGGACCTGGGGATATTGATTGATGCTCAGCTGAACACGAGCCAGCAGTGTGCCCAGGTGGCCAAGAAGGCCAATGACATCTTGGCTTGCATCAGAAATACTGCAGCCAGCAGGAACAGGGAAGTGATTGTCCCCCTGTACTCAGCTCTGGTGAGGTCGCACCTCCAGTACTGTGTCCAGTTTTGGGCCCCTCATTGCAAGAAAGACATTGAGGCCCTGGAGTGGGTTCAAAGAAGGGCAACAAAGCTGGTAAGGGGCAGGGAGCACAGGCCTTATGAAGAGTGGCTGAAGGAGCTGAGATTGTTCAGTTGGAGAGGAGGAGGCTCAGGGGAGACCTTATTGCTCTCTATAACTACCTGAAGGGAGGTTGTAGTGAGCTGCGGGTCGGCCTCTTCTCTCACACAACCAGTGATAGGACTAGAGGGAATGGCTTCAAGCTGTGCCAAGGGAGATTTAGGCTGAACATTAGGAAATACTACTTTTCTGAAAGAGTAGTCAGGAATGGGCTGCCCAGGGAGGTGGTGGAGTCATTGACCCTGGAAGATTCAAGGAATATTTGCACATTGTGTTGAGTGACATAATTTAGTGAGAACTACTGGTGATAGGTGGATGATTGGACTGGGTGATCTTGTAGGTCTTTTCCAACCTTGGTGTTTCTGTGATTCTGTGAGTAGGACTTCAATAAATCACAGCAGACTTTGTCCTTCATTAGAAAAAAAATACGCAAAACTTTCTTCTCTATTCTACCATACCTCAGAATCCCTTCTCCACAGATATAATCAAAGATCATAATATTTAAAACTAGAAAAAGCTGAATAGTACTTGTTAGTCTTATAAGGTAAGGACAAGAAAATGAGAAATACTGTGTTATACTATATAGGAAAGCTGCTGGTGCTGCTAAGGAAATGAAAGGTTCGCATTTCTGTGAACAGTTCAACCCATTGGCAAAGTTTCTAAAGATCTGTACTTGACCATACAGAATATTCATCTGAAAATTATTCTAGAAAAAAATATTTAAGATGCACCCTACCAATACGTGTTAAAGCTACTTAAATCCACAATAAGCAATTCATTTAAAGGCATGAATCCAGGTGGATTTCACAGAAAATACTTGCATGGAATGTAGATCAAACCCTTCTCAATTTATCTGACTAATGTGGGAAGAAGGAAGTTAACTGTTCTCTGGTACAATTCTTCCCAGCTTTTCTCTCAGAAACAAATGCTAACCATTAAGCCATTTAAAAACATGGAACAATGCCTTCTCCCCAGATGCCAACAAGATGCACATGAAGACTTGGGACATGAACACTTGAATCAAGAACAGACCAAAAGCTCTTGGTTGTACTAATGTGTTTTTAGAGTCTTGAAAACATTAGCAAAGGAGATCAATTGCCCAATTTTTCATTTTAAAACCACAAATATACTGACAAAACCTCTGAAATTAAGTGCTAACAATTAATCAGCAAATTTCCTTTAAGAGTGTCAGGAATTGTCTTTTCTTCCATGGCATCTGGATACTAAGAGAACAAGTAGTCCAGGCACATGCTATAATGCCTAAGTACTCAGGGAGATAACTACCACTAAGGCTTCATCTCTTGTACACTTTCAGATAGAAGACATTAAGATAAAAGACTAAAATAAAGAAGTGTTTAGAACATGTTTCATGTCCTATTTTTAAAGCCAGCCCAGTTTCCCAGAGTAACTAGATGCATCTGCTACCAGTACATAAAATTTGAAGAAACTGCTGTTTTACAAAACCTACCAGCTGTCATGTCATTCATTAATCTAAGACAGTTTAATCCAACAATCTGAGCTGCGTCCAGAACTGACCTCCTTTCAGCATCAGTGAAAAATGATGGAACCTGAAGAAAGCAGGTGAGAATAGGAAGTTAGCTTCAGAACATGAGACTACACACCATCTATTTGGAAATGCTCACACAAATTCTATCTATTCTTCATGTTTAAGGACAACATTCACTGCAAGTACTTCATTGAACCAAAACTAAATATTGTACTTAGTCAAGCTGAGATGGAATTAAATGAGCATCAGTTAGTTTATACAATCATACACTAAGAAGAAGCAAATATTATTTGTATACAAATGTTAGGAACATTAATTACTGCTGCAAAATATGAGACTGGTTTTTAAGGAGAAAGAGACACAGAATAACCTCAGGCACAACAACTGGTAGATATTTACCATCCAAGAAAACAAAATAAAAATGCAGTACTGCAATAGAGATGTGAGAGACACAAAAACAACAAAAAAGTTATAATTAATAAAGTATCTGCTTTTGCCAAAATTACTTTGGAGAAGAATTAGCAAGAGGTTCTGGAGGATTATGCTGTTGAAAATCTGCTGCAGATCTCTATCATCTGCTTTGGACAGTGACCTGTGATATCCCTGGAGAAGAAACTACATCATTAGTGGACATTACCTTTTCAGATTACTGAGTGGATAACCTCCTTTAAGGATAACAAACTAAAATATTTCTAGATACAACACAAGGTAGACTTGTTCAAAGAATAAGTGAATGCACAGAGGTAGATGCCATTTTATATTTAGGCTTCGCAATGCAATGACTTTTCTTGTTCTGTGGTCATTTTCTTGTGCAGTCATAAATTGAAAAATTGAACTGAAGTTCAATTAATTTCAGCTGCCAGATGGCAAATTCTGATAAATAAAGGTATCTTTAACAAGTAATTTGAGTGTTTAATCATGGGATAAAATTATAGAATGGTACACATCTGGATCCCAAAGGTGTTCTTTGTGCCAGAGTTCATACATTTCCCAAGAAAATGAGTTCATGAAGTGGCTCAGGGACTGAAATATGGAAGCGGCCCTGGGATTTCTTTAAGTCAGGAGCTTTGAAGTTAGTTAGGATTAATCCCTTTATAAGTGCTTATCTGGTGTTTCTATTCATGTACAGTGAAAAAGAACAAAATGTCCTCAATAGCTGAAGTTTAAGGACAATGTTCCTGTGCACTACAATTACTTACAGAAATAACACAGTCTGTTACTGGCTTTTTCAGGTTACTCTCTGCAGTCTCCTTTAATTTTGTTAACAACATCGCTGAAATCTGCTCCACACTGAAGATGTGCTCCTCATCCATGTACATGACCTGGATAGAAAAAAGCAGGAAAAGTAATTCCATTATATCAATGAAAAGAATTACTTTCAGTTAGTAGGTTTTTTGGTACACTGTTGACTAATACTCTTTCAACCTTGACATGCTTAATTTGTTCTATAATGAATTAGAATTTACAATTTAATTTGCCACAGAAGCAATAATCCCATTTTCGAAATTACACTGAGAACCAGATGAACACTATGGATGAAAGTAACAGCTGAGAGTTTGCAACTTTGAAAGTGACTGAGTCTAAAACATAAATAAGACATAAGCATATAGTATTATAGTCAAAAACAGTTGAAATAGCCGATTTTGTAATTGCTATTAACTACAGAAAAGTCCAGAATTACCTGCTATCTTCCCCTAACATTTTTATAACCCTGCTCAAACATTAGCAGTCTCTCTAGAGGGAAGAGCTGAAACAACTACAATACAGATTATGCACAAAAGCCAACTAAAAAGATACAGCTCTGGAAAAAGTTTATTCTCATACTGTTTCCTTACCAAAAAGCAATTTTTGAATCACCAGTTTTCTGTGTAGGAGCATAAATGCCAGTGAAGTAAAGGAACACATTAAAATCGACTCTTGAAAGAGTAACTGATTTTCATCCACAACATTATAATCAGGGAAGAAAAAAAATCAGAGCATTTTAGTTTTAGAAGAAAAGCTGTTCTGCAACCATCCATCTTACCAATTATATGACATATTGAATCAGTTACATTTTATTTTTACAGCAGTTAAATTGGAAAAAACATGACCAAAAAAATCTACTCATTTGTTCTGCAAACAGACTAAGAACAAATAAAAGATAAGTAACACTCTTCACTCACTACTAGACTTTCACTTACAGTAAAGCACTCCTACATGGACTTGAATTTCTGTCTGGAACGCATCTGTTAACATCACCAGTCACAGTCAGTACAAGAAAAGGCACCTCCTCTTTTATAAAACTTGACTTCTCTGTAAATCCGTTCATTACCAAAGCCTGATCTATGCCTAGATTTTGATGCATCAGTTCAAAGTATAGAGAAAAGCATCAAGTCTAACACACACTCTAACTAAGCTAGGGTTGTCCCTAGTGAAGCAGCATCAAGTGAATTTCACAAGGCTTTGATATCAGTATTTTTGGTACAGGTCTGTAAATGAATTAACACTTAGGACACCTATCGTAGGAAATGCTGACACTGCATCAGCAAAACTACTGGTAGTGTCAGCAGGACTGGATCTGGAGTAGTTGTACAAGACGGGCAGTTACTGTTGCAAACATCTTAGAGGACACCAGACAGTGCTCTAAAAACATGTCATTTGTTTACAATCAAGGTTCTAAATTAGAGTTCATGCTACTTACTAGTGAGTAGGTAACCAGGTGATTAGACTGTTAGAGAGCATTCAACACAGGAGTGACAAAAAGGTTAATACTTAAAAGCAAATCCACACAACCTCCAAATCATCTTAGTATCCTTGGCTGTAATGTTTGACCCAGAAGCACAATTAGGCAACAGAAAAGCTCAGATTTCAGCAATTATTGCAAACAAATCTTAATTTGATATTTAGCATGCACCACTTAAAAGTGGAAGCTGGCTATTCAACACAAGGGCTCCTCTTCAACAGAATGGTTAAAGAAAACCTTCAGGCTACTTAAATGAAGCCTGAATTTTCTTGAGTAAGTGCTGAAACAAACTTTTCTGTGTAACTACAAAATTAAAAATGTCATGTTCCAAGCATACCTTTACTCCAACTCCACCATTCTTCATAGGAACCAAATCATAACTCAACTTTTCCTTTTCCTTCTGAACAAACGGATCATTAAATGCACGGCCATGGAACCTCTTGAAGTTAGATACTGTGTTGTGGGCATGAGTGATTTGCTGTAAAGAAATACAAGACATTTACAAATCTATCCTTCATCAAACTGCAGTGTTCAGTGTTGCCCTGTATGCCCCAAGCATCAGTCACACTTCAATAAAACTGTTCACTTACTTGTCACATATGTTACTATAATACCTGTAATTACTACCTGGTATTTTATAACAGCTCATCACTACAAAAAAAAAAATTGGTCACAGAAGAGTATATATAAAGTACTGGAAGCACTATATGAGCAACTCTAAAACCTCCAAGCAATCAGGTGAGTAATATCACAGAATGGCCAGGGTTCAAAGGGACCGCAAGGATCATGAATCTCCAACCCCCCTGCCACATGCAGGGCCACAAACCTCCACATTTAATACCAGACCAGGCTGCCCAGGGCCCCATCCAACCTGGCCTTGTACACCTCCAGGGACGGGGCATCCACAACCTCTCTGGGCAGCCTGTTCCAGCACCTCACCACTCTGAAGAACTTCCCCCTGGTATCCAACCTAAATCTCCCCTCCCTCAGCTTAAAACCATTTCCCCTTGTCCTGCTATAATATGCTTTACAGTGCCTACTACTTTACTCATCTAATCTAGATGTGATTCAAGTAATGAAAAGCCTGTTTTCCAGGTGCTGGCCAGGCTTGTTACTGGCACTCATGTCACACCAGTAACCTCATCACCCCCAAGGGTTCACTTGAAACACCACTAAAATGAGCGCACACACACACACCCCTGTATCTTCAGTTATTGGCATCAAGCTTCCCATTCATTTCAATACTTACTTTTTCCCTGAGCTATTGTTAAATAGGGTGAGCTCCCTCCTTATGCTCACCTAGCAGTCACTCCAATTCTTTACACCAGACCAAAGGGCACAAAGAGCAGAGAGAAGCATGACATTACTTTGGTACCAAAGTTAGCTTAAAGTACATACTGAACTGTAGCACAAGAATCCCAAAGAACCAATTGCTCTAGAGAAACATTCTTTATCAGGACTGCAATGCAGAATAGAAAGCAGACAGCTAGGCTATCCTAAAAGAGATAGAAGTATCTCAAAGTAGAATGAAACCTACTCTGTTGGAGAGAAGCTGTGGAAGCACATTGCTCGAGTAACTTTAGGCAGGCACCAACAGATTAAACGGTATTAAGTCAAATGATGAACATACTGAGGAACAACATGGAAGCAAAAATAATTTCTACGTAGCTGGCAGAGAAGCACAAACACTCTGGCGGCTTTTACGGCCTAATTTAGAATAACACTCACAGCCTCTTCCAAGGAACAATCTTCAGATATTTTTAGAGTAATTGTATGCCATTAGATCTGCAGCACATTTCAATATCTTCCTGCTTAGTCACAATTAAGAAAGCAGAGAGTTATGGTCTGTTAACTAATAAACTGCTCTCATCTCCAGGCTACCAGGGTTACCTAAGAGGAAACAAACTCTCTGAAGATTCACTCCAGCAGCAGCTCTCCAAGTCTCAAAGGACATCGACCCTGAGTACGATCACAAGCTCCTGCATTCAGTCACACTGTTGACTGGTGAGTTTTTTACTTTAGAAAAAAGTTCTTAATTAGTAACTTCAAATGAAACGGATGGTTGTACTTCTTGATTTAAGCATCTGCTACACTCTAAGGCACAGAAAACATCACTCAAGTTTTTCACATGAAGGGACTTCCACACCTAAGAAAGAAACAATGCGCCTGATGGGCAGTCAGCCAAAATAAACTGCCTCAGCAAGAGGAACTAATGCTCTGCATCTTTTATCATTTAATGTACCACATGCTTTTCTTTTCTAGCAAAAGCCATTTAGTTTCAACCAGTAGACAACCAAGCACAGAAGATGCGATATATCAACATAACCTAATGGTTGCCTTAAGTCATCTGAATTCTCTGGCATTCATCCCAAACACAGTCCTTTAAACGCAATTTCATAAGTCAGAATCTTCTTCCTTTTCAGTGTGCTTCAAGTTTTCGCATTTCATCGGAAAACAATACTGAAATACTCTCAAGAATTTCCACATAGGATTTAGATCACTTCTGTTTTGATTAATGACTCATTTTTGCACACAAGCAAATCTTATTAGTTTCTGAGTAAAAGCACATAATAAGAAAACAAAAGCAATGCCAAAATGAAGCTTCTCTAAAGAAGGAACACAAACATATGTAATGATTGTACCACTTCAAATATTAACCTTGAACCAAAGGACTACATGCGTTAGTGAATGTGTAAGCTATTCATATTCCCTCAGCTTCCAAAACTAAGGGAGCTGTTACAGAGAATAAAGTCTCTTCCAATGCTCTCTCCATGGAAACACACTGCAGTCCTTTCACCACAGAGATCCGCACAGCCCAGCAGAGCTGCAGGCTCCTCAGTCCCTTACCAGCTGTGGTTATGCAACAGATACAAGGCTTGACAATACCTGAGGATTTATTTAACAGCTATATTTAGCTATTCTGAAACGCTAACAGGAGAGCTTAATTCTTGCACATGAAACTACTACTTCAGTAAAGAAAACAATGTTTCTTTAACTACCTATCAGAACTGCTCAAGCAATAAAACCAAGTTATTTATACGATAAATGTTATGCTTTTGAAAAACACACAGGCATCTACCTTCCAGCAAAAGCAAAGGCAGTGAGGTAGCTACACTGCTTTAGGAAACCTCAACTAACATTTCACCTTCCCATCTAATTTTAAGCACCTCTACACAGCACTCAAACCTTTTCCTTCAGATGCAGGAGAAAGCTATAGAGAAGCACCAAGAAAACAAATCCGATGCTTAGGCTGTAAGGAAATGAAAATGTTTGACTGGAAAAAATTACTATTATACAAACAGCGAGCAGGGAAGTTCCAGCAGAACCACCTGTGTTCCTCTGAGAGCAGCACAGCACATAATTTCTCTACCGTACAGCACCCCGAGCTCAAAAGGACCCGTAAGGATTCTCCGACAGGTGTACCAACGACAATTAGTCGATTCCAACTCCAGCCCAGCAGCTCTCCACGCACCCCCGGCATCTGAACCGCCGGGCCGTCAGCCTACCAGTCACAGCCACCTGTAAGGAACCCACCTGGTTTTTGGCCGAGACGCCGATAGCTCTGTTTTTGGAGCCGAACGAGACCACCGACCTGAAAGGCACAAGGGACTGCTGAGCTCGGCGCTGACGGCAGACGGCCCGCGTTCCAGCAGCACCGGAGCTCCACCGCTTCCCCTACCCCCACCCCCGTTACCCTCCGCACAGCGCGGCTCTCCACCAGCACCGCCGCTCCCGGCCCCGAACTCCGAGCGGCAGACACCCGCTTTCCATCCAAACCGCCCCGCTTCCGAGCTGCCTTTGTTAAAGCAAACTAACTAATTCGAACGGCCGCGCGCCCCGAGCCACGGAAAGGCGGCGGCCCCCCGGGAGCTCCCTCCCCGCTCCCCTCACTCACGGCGTGCAGCGGTCGCTGAACTCGTTGGCCACCGTCTCGATGCCGCCGGCCCGCGCCACTGCAATGTAGCAGCTCTGGAAGCCCAGATCAAAGCCCACCACGGCCATGGCCGCCCTACCGCCGCGAACAGGCCCCCCCGCCCAACCTGCTGCCGGCACCGCCGCCCCGGTCCCGCTGCCGGCGGATGGGCGCGCAGGGGCGGGCAGCCGGCGCCGCCGCTTTAAATATGACAATGAGGCGAAGTTTCCAGAAACTGCGGCAACCACTCACCGGCTCCACGTGCGGCTTCCGCTTCCGCCTTCGGCGGCGTTCTCGAACAATTCCGACCAATCAGCGGCGCGGGGACCCCGTGACGTCGATTGTTCTCATGGAGACTGCCGACGCCGCCGACTCACAGAGAAGAGCGAGGGGAGGAGGCGGGAAAGGGGCGTGGCCACGCGGGAAGGGGCGTGGCCAGGTGTGAGAGGCGGGTTGAAAGGGAGCGCGGGTTGGGCGCGTTTCGCGGCTGTTGGGCGCGGTAGTTAACGGCTGTCGGGTCGGAAACTTGCTGAGCTTCTATGTGTAGGAGCAGGGAAGAAAAGAGGCTGGCTGAAATGAAGTCCTTGTTGTAGCTCACTGGGAAGCTTGTGTTTGAGCAGCTGGCGATGTCTTATGATAGGCGTTTTCCTTCCTTGCTGCTAGAAAACTCTTAGGAATAGTAAAAAGTGGCAGAGCAGGTTAGGTGTGTGTGCGCTGTATTGCTTGCCCTTTTTATAATTGCCCTTTTTAAAGAGGGTTTATCTGTCCAGTGCCACATCCTACTGTGGATGAAGGTCTGCTATGTGCTGAGCTTGGGCTGTGTGTGCAGGGCAGATCCCAGCCTCCTGCATTGCCCATGGAAACGCAGTGGGTGTGCAGGTGAGATGTGTGCTGTCAGCGTGCCTCCCTGTGCCAAAGGGAGAGATGGGTGCATTCAGTGTCCTCAGTCCTCCTCTGTGTGAGGGGAAGGCAGTATTTTGCCCTGCTTCCTTTCTTCTGTGCTGTAGCAACCTGTCTCTGCTAAAGATTCACTTCCCAATGGAGTAATGTTCATTTTTCTGTCAGGTTTCAGCCTCTTTTGACTGTATATTTGTGAGGAGTTTTTTTAGTCCACTAAAAATAATGCTTCTGTTAGAGGAGGTAGAGAGCTGAAAATCCCCTCAGGCTGTTTTGTGGCTGTTAGCTGAGGCTGTAATTTCTAATTTCAGAATAAGCTGACAGGATGGCCAAACCCTGAGTGCCTGTTCCTGGTGCTGCTGCAACTGCAATTTTCAGCAAGGAGGTAGATTTCTTCAAAGTATTTCATTTGCTTTACCTGCTTTTTATTGGATGACGTGGAAATGCTGAAAACACTTCTGTCTTCCTCACAAATGTACCAATTCCTTGAATTTGTGTGTTCTTGAATCCTGGATTGTACTTTTTTAGGGCTGGGTGAAAATCCAGTCATTTTATTAATAATTCATCTGTACATCAGCCACAGCCCTATCTGGCAAGAAGCTGCGTGCTAGTATTTTCAGTGATTGTTTTGAAAATCCTGCTGTGGTGAATGATAAACATACAGCATAACCACTAGTTTAAGTGTCACCACAGATGAAAAAAGTAGATACCAAACATTCCTTTTGCTTTTTCATCCTTTGCTGTAAATTGTTTATCCTTGAATAGAAATAGGAAAATCTTGACTGTTTGCCCAGATTTGCAGCTGGTCTCTAAAGGGAGAAAAATGTTAAGCTCAACAGTGAATTTGGAAGTTGCTCTGCTGGCACCATCTACCCGATGGCTTAGTGCAGTGCTGTGTGGTGCAATAAGCGAGCTTCGGCTTCAGTGCATTGGGATGCCAGTAAAAGAATGAAGTTTTTCTTGGCCTGGAGCAGAAGCATGTATTCACAGAGTCTTGGTATCTGTGCTGCTATAGAAGAGTGAGTGGTGCTGGGGGAAGTAGGGGGAGTGTAAGAGGTGAGCAGAACCTTGGTTCTTTCTTTTTCTCATGTGATTGTCTCCCTTTTCTACCTAGAGATAGTATGGATTGTGTAAGGACATTTTTAACTACCCTGGGGTAGGGGAGGATAATGCTGTAATTAATTTTCTTTGGGGCTTACTTTTGTTGCAATGCTTGTGAGTTTTGGAACTGAGGATAACCAGTGCTGTGCCTTCCCTGTGTTAGATCAGCACTTGCTAAATGGCTGTGGGCTCTGACAAGGAAAATGCTTTACTGTTGTCCCCTGTTGTAGCTCCAAAGTAAACTGGCATCATAATGCTGCTGGAAGAGAAAGCTCCTGCTGTTCAGTGAGACCTTGGATTCACACACATGGTTACTCTGTATGTCAATCCTTGTGCTTTTGCAGTACGCTAGCAAACTGTGGAAATAGCTGACCAATGTTTTCATCTTTTTAAGAATGCTTTGAACAGACAATATTTTGGTAGGCTGATCAACATTCATTTTATCTACTTAGGAGCTTAGCTTATGGTAAATGAGGAGGTGGCTTGGTGAGCGTGGTATGTGTTGTGGATTTTCATTTGTTCCTCAGTTGTGTAGGTGCTCTTGTGGCTGTGACAGTTAAGGGTTTCTTTAAACATGTCCACACTCTGACTTGGAAAAAAGCAATCTGGTCTTCATCAGTGCAGACAATGTTTTAAAATAGTAGTTGATCAGGCCTTTAAAGAATTATTTTCATATTCAGTGCTGGATGTTCTATATTGTGGCATCTACCAGAACTAAAGGCACTGATGTGTGTTAAGGAACAGAATCTGATTTGGGAACAAGGTGATTTCGTCTGTTACACAAGGCCTAATGTTGGTAAACTTTCTTGTGGTGTAGTTAGGATGACGTTACTGTATATACAAGGAATGTTTCCATTATAAGCATTACTCAAAGAAGACTAGCTAATAACTCTGTGGATGGCCAAAGTGCCACAGAACACAACACAAGAATCTATTGAGTTCCTAGGATTTCTGCTGTGTTTCCAAGGGCCCAAAAAAACTGAGATGTGCAAAGAGTGATGCCTTGACTGTCCTAGTACTGCTCCTGTACATAATCTTCATGTCTTAAATAAAACAGAAGACAGGAAAGGCCATCCCAGCACAAGCAGGCAACATCTATACTTTCCACTAGAAGTAAATAGGTATATCTGTATCATTTCTCTAGGGATTTCTTGTTTGTCTCACTTTCCATTTGTGAGCTGAGCTTGCCTCCAGCCTGTGCTATTTCATTCTAATCTATTTGGAGGCTGCCTGGCCCAGCTTCACCGCAGCTGGCATTCTGTATCTGCAAGCAGTTGGCTCCTATGATAATACACGATGGACTTGCTGGTCAGTCAGCTTCTGCACCATTTCCATCTCTGTCCTTCGGAGAAGGCCTTTAATGCAAATCTGATGAGATTAGGGTTCTTTTCCTCTTGGGTACAAAGCTAAGTTTTAAAAGGGTAAAGGGCACTTGAGATCTTTACTTCTCCCAGAGATAGGCTGATATTCCTATGAGGTCATGGTTCTTCAGAAATATGACATAGATCCAGTAGTTTCCTGTACAGTGCTGTACTGCAGCTCTTTTTTAACATTTATTTTCATGTCACTATGTTAATGGTGTTTGATATTTACTTTCTGTACATAAACACTTTGCAACTTGAGTGGAACAGATGAGAGTAATAAGTAAAATGCCATGGGGATTTGCAGGCATATATATTTTCACATCAATATTACATTATAACATGAAATATATATGTATATTATTACATCATATACATTGTACTAGGAAATGCCAAACATTAATTCAATTATATGAAGCAATAAGTAACATATTATGCTTGTAAATAGCTAAGTGTTTTCATTTGGCCTTTTGCCTCTTCTGTATGTGAAGTATTAATGATAATGTTCTGTAGCATTATCTTTGTTAATGCTTTGATCCACATACTTATGCTTGAGAAAGAAAGAATGAAGCAGATATGTCACCGAGGTGACAGTGTAATCAGCTTGAGGCACAGCCACCAATGGATACTACTTTCTCAAGGCTGACAGCTGAGCTGCATTCTTCAGAGCATCCCTAGTGTGGGAAATATCCAATTTAAACAAAATGTGCAGGTAAATAAACATCACTGGAAACTCTCAAGTGACTCCATGGCTCTGCCCACGTTTCAGCGTACTTTAACACACAGCATAGCATGGATCCAAATCCCAGTGTAACTGAAGGGGTGATGCTTTATCTTCCTGATGCTTTGAATGAGGTTTTAATACAAGAATAGCTTTATAGTCAATACATGGCTTTCTGTGATTTTTTTTTTTTTTCCCCCATCAGTAAAACTTGGATTAAAATGGAGCAGGCCTTTCTTCTGAGATCAGTGTGAATTCTTTAAAACTGAAGTGATTGTAAATGTTTCATTTGATTGGTGGGAAACTACCATTAATGTCTCTTTGGATTTTAAAACGTGAACCTAAAGAATGCAATGAAGGAGAAGGTAAATTAAAAGTACCAAGGCTATTGTAAACTTCTCAGTCTTATTCATTTAAATATATAGATGTTTTAATATTTTCACTTACTCAACTGGATTGTATCACTGGAAAATATGGAAGCTTTAGGACGAAGAACAATGAAACTATTTGCTTTGTAGTTCAAACTTACTACAGTGTGGTAAGCAAATGCTTGAAGCTATAAAATTGGGTTCAAAAGCATTCAAATAATAATAAGCCATAAGTATGAATCTCAAATACTTCATCTTGAGTGATTGTCTGTTTGCATTTCCCTCATAACCTTTTATTTTCCTGTTGCTTGGACACAAGAAGTGTTTTGAGTGAGAGAGAAGACGATCAGATTATGTTGCAAAACAAATTTCATGTAGTGACCAGCTGCACATCACTAATGGGAAGGAGTGAAGTGTTGAACACTTTTTATGTAAATACAGAAATTGATTGCATAAGCTCTCTAGTGTCTAAATGCAATTAATAAATGCTTTTGTAAATGTAAAAAGATTGCACAACGAAGAGTCAGTGTGAATTGAAAACACCAAAGTTTCTGTCAACCAGTCAGGAACTGAATGTTATTTTAAAAAATAGAAATGAAAGTGGATATAATGACAATTTGGGAGGGATGTTAATGAAGAAAAAGAAGCCAAGTTATTACTACTTGATCTGATAGCGAACCATCTGGCAATATGCTGCCAAATCATTATGTATCCTTTGTATGACTCAGTGCTAATGAGATGTGCAGGGATTATGCAGATTTCTTGTGCTTTCAGCTTTGGTAGAAGGTTT